AGTTTCGAGAGAATGAGACGAATACAAAATAAAAATATCTGATGTAGGATAATTGTATTCTCTTCTTATTTAGTATCACGGCCGTTTCATCGCCTTCCACCGCTCCGTTACATAGCCGCCTACCGTTCCGTTACATAGCCGCCTACCGCTCCGTTACATTGTTTCAAATCACACCCATTCTAAAGAAGTTTTCACTTCCAAAAGTGCATATTCAACATGTAATGCTTTAGGAATTGAAACAAGGCAATAGCACTAAGGTGGCAACTGAAAAAATATACAGCTTATACAGTGCAGGACTGGATAACTGATAGGGCAGTTAGAAATTGGTTTGGAAAATTCCGTTCTGGAGATACGATCTTAAAAGATGAACCCGAGTGCAGGGGATGTATTTCCGACTTTGATGAACCTTTTAAAGGTAATATTGAGAGCAAAATCCAATAGATACGTTGAACAATTGCAAAGAGGGCAAAAAAACAAAAACTCCATGAAAGGTGTGTTGCACTTATCAGTCGCAGAAACGCCATTCTTTGTCTCATTAAAAATGGAAGTTATTTATGACTCGATCTAATATATAATGTGTATAATAAAAATGTAATGTGTATATTATATTATATTATAATATAATATAAATAGTATTATATAAATTATATTAGAATTTATTTCAATTATTGATTCTGTATTATGTTACAATATAATATAATATACAGTCAATTAATTAATCCTTTGCACTACACTTTTACATCCGCCATTTTTCCTTCTATCAAAATTGATAAAGATAACTTTTACTTTTTATTTGTAGTAAATTTCAAATAAAATATTTATTAAAAATATTTAAAAATTGCTGTATAACCAAAATAAAATATTATTTGTAGTGTGCAAAGGGTTAAATATATTAATCTTAACTGTATATATGTAAGATTATATAATAATATATAATAAAATATAAATTACAAATATATTATAATTATATTATTGTAATATAATATAATTATAATATAAATATATAACATATATTAATATAATATATATATTATATTATAATATACAGTCAATTGAAACTAACCTTTTGCACTACCCTTTGCCGACATTTTACTTTTTACCAAAACTGATTAAAATAACACCTTTACTTTTTAATTAAAAAAAAAGAAAAAGTAAATTTCCAATAAAATAATTATAAAAAAAGTTTAGAATTATTAAATAACAAATTTACAATGAAAATATTATTCATAGTGCAAAAGATTAAATATATTAATCTTAATTGTACATATGTAAGATTATATATATATAAATATATTAATAGAGAAAAATATAAATTTTACCCATAAATCGTAATCATTGTTCCTTCGAAACCATATTTTAGGAAAGACATGTGAAACAACCAATGCAAATATGGATGTGCATCATTAAGGTGTACAAAAAATCCGCTAAATATTGTAAATGGTAGAATTATAAGCGGTCCAAAGATCACACCGTTCTACAAAGTTGACAACTTAACATTGATTATGGCAATCGGTGCTAATTGAATATTATTATTATACATTATAAACAATTGAATGTGAACAAACCTGTACTGTTAATCCAACGCCAACGATAAAACCGATAGCTTGTGCTACCAAAGTAACGACGAAACACATAAGTACGTAAAGTATTAATCTTTTAGCTTCGAATATTTGATTACTCATGAAATAAACTATTAACGTGTATATACACGTTGCCGTTAATTGTACCGGAAAATCGGCAAATTTGTTTGCAAGATAAAATGATCGTAGCTTGTACCAACGATTAAAATGTTCTCGCATTAATATTGGCAATTCCAAAGGTACTAAAAAAAAAAAAACAAAGTAAATACGTAAGATAAAGTTAACGAAAATATGATTATTAATATTAATCTTACGTTAATTAACCCTTTGCCCTTATATAACCCTTATATCAACTATCCTATCTTTCAAGTTGAATGAAATTGCACACAGTGTGCAAAATTTGATTAAAATCAGTTCAGTAGTTTAGGAATCCATTACGAACAAACAACATGACACTTAATTTATATATATTAAAAAGAAGAAGAAGAAGAAGATATTAAATATACAAAATGTATTGCAACCATTGTACTACTTTGTTACTTTTATTATCAAAATTATCTATAATTTTTAGTTGAAGTAAATTTCAAATAAAACATTTTAAAAATGATTAACAAAATTCAAAAAATTGTTCCTAATGCAAAGGGTTAAATATATAAAAGGGTATTGGGATCTCTGGCAGTGGGGGGGGG